TTTTGCACTTGCTGTACTCTGGACTAATAATCCAGAGACCCACCACTGTAGATGGTGGTTACTGCATTTGATAAAATCTGGAATTGTAAGTCTAATGAAGATGAGGAAATCATTATTGATTGTCATCTGCTTCACTAATGCCCTTTAGTGAGAGAAAATTGCTCTCCTTGCCTGGTCTGGCCTACATGTGATTTTAGACCCACAGCAACGTGGTTGCCTCTTAACTGTCCTCTGAAATGGCCTAGCAAGACCAGTATCAATTGAAATGAAACCAGATGGATCACCTGGCATTGACCTAGGCACCAAAAAAACGCGGCAAACTCTGCCCTGTCAACCCTGCAAAGTCCCAGTCACCAATATCTGGGGGGAGGGGAGATACTGCCAAACTTGGGAGCACTGTCTCATAGACTGGTCAAGCAACAGCCTCAAATAGTCATTCTCACAGAATCGTACCTTACACACAATGTCACAGACAACACTGTCACCATCATTAGGTATGTTCTGTCCCAGGACAGACTCAGCAGTGGCAGTGGCACAATGGTATGCAATCAGGAGAAAGTTTTTTTTCATTCATTCATGGGATATGGTATCAGCTAGGCTAGCATTTACTACCCATCCATAATTGCCCCTAATTGTCAGCCACATTGCTTGTAGGTCTGGAGTCACACATAGGCCAGACCAGGTAAGGACAGCAGTTTCCTTCTCTATAGCATATACGGGAACCAGATTGGGTTTTTCCTGACACTCTACAATGGTTTCATGAGCACCATTAGACTCCTAATTCCTGACATTTATTGAGTTCAAATTCCACCGTATGCCATGGCAGATTCAAACTTAAATGCCAAGAACAGGGTCTCTAGAACAATATTACTGCTAGACTATCACTGGTCTAGTGATAACACCGCTAGGCCTAGCAATGATAACACTAGGCCATTGCCTCCCCATACTCCTAGTCGTCCTCTGACACTCAATTTTAATGGACATTAGCAGGATGCAGTGACCACACATCGCTAATTGTAAGGCATGTGAACCCTGTCTATTCCCAGAAGCAAATTACAGCTTTTTTTTTATTTTTTACTTTTGCCTTCACTTTAGCTGTTGCTAAATGAAAGTGTATGTTTTCAACCATCGAAGGCTTTCCAGTATGTGATTACCTACATTGAACTTACATTACATACATTGTTAATGTATGTTGGGCATTAACAAAAGAGTTATTAGTCCCTTAGACAGGTTTTGAAAATGGGATGACCCTAAGGACAGGAAACCTGTGCCGCTTACTTCTTAAATAGCAATGAATTTATAAATATGCAACTTATATTTGGACTGAAGCGACCGCCATACCATCCATGTGCCACTACTTGCCTGGTGAAGGGCAATCCTGGCTGACAGCCCTTGACTGAGTGCACAGTTAGTCTTTAGAAATGGTGCCATTATAGGAACCCCAGGCAGACCCAGCAGTGGTAAATTCTTCCGACTTAGTTGCGAGGGAAGATAGAACATGCCGTGAAGGCTTGGTGCAAAGGTCATGAGGAAAATTGTAGAGAAAACCTGCTGGGGAAGAGAATCCTTCCATGTAGCTTGCCAAAACTGACAACTGGCTGTTTCCTCATAAAATTCAGCCTATTGTTCATGTTTTCTTTTGTGTAATAATTTATTTTGTTCTTTTGTAAAAGATGCATGGGCAGAATTTTGTTAACACGCTCACTGTCTGACTTCCACTGCAAGCGTAAAGGTAAATAAAATTTACAGTCCATTGAGTCAGGTTTCACTCCGGGATCTGGATTGTTCAGTGTTACCATCATAGCAGCACTGAGAATTTAGAATCTGGAATTTACAAACTGTGGCAGGGACAAATTAAATCATGGGTTTCAGAAGGGAATTAGATAATTTCATGAGCAGAAAGGGTATCCCAGGACTACAAGGATAAAGAAGGAAATAGCATTGGTTTAGTAGCCCTTAAACAGAGCTGGCATAGGCACATGTGGCTGAATGGCCTCTTCCTGTGATGTAACCATTCTATGAGCTAACCCACATTACATTCTGGCATATAAACCGAAAGAACTGCGGATGCTATAAATCAGGAATGATCAGGCTGGGAGGGTGAATAGTTGTTAATGGGGACTATTAGTGACTAATTAGTGTGTAATGGCAGGCTATGTGGTAATAAGGCCTGGTGTGTGGGGTAGGGGGCTGGGACATGGGAGAGTTTAGACCCTAAAATTATTGAACTCATTACAGTTAGAACTCATTAGATCGCTATCAACTCTTTGTCTGTCCAACTGCTCTTCTCTCTCTTTAGGCTGTACCCAATTGTTTACTCCCTACCCCATCCCCATCCCCTTTTCTCTGCATATAAATTGACGTTTTCCCAGCCACCATTAGTTCTCAGGAAGGGTCACCGGACCCGAAACGTTAACTCTGTTTTTTCCTTCACAGATGCTGCCAGACCTGCTGAGCTTTTCCAGCAACTTTTTTTGTTACATTCTGGCATGGTCATCACCAAGAGGTGTCCAATATTTATTTGTCTCTTTTCTGTCCAATTCTAATTGCTCCACTGTTGGGGGATGTACCCTCTGACTTTAACATCTGGAATGGCCTCCTCACACCTCTCCAGCTCTCAACTCCATTTTCCTCTGTTAAGACATTCTTTAAATTGCACCTCTTCAACCAAGCTTTTAGTCATCTGACCCAATGCTTTCTATAGGACTCAGCATCATATCTTGTTTTATAATGCTCCTGTGAAGCACTTTGGAATGTTTTATGATAGTAACTGTGCTGTGTAAGTATTAATTGCTCATTTAAAATCCGAATTGTATTTTTATCTCTTTGCCACACACTAACTCTTCCCACCCATTCCACCTCCTACAGCCTTTCCCTTGCACACTCTGATTCTTTACCATGGTGAGGACTCCCGAAGAATGTACCTCACTCGTCTTTCTCAAGCAGTCACTTTCCACATTTGTAACACAGCAGTGAATATTTGTTTGTCATGTAACAGTGGGGTTGAGGTGGTACAAGGGAGATATCTGTGGCCGAGTACATATCAGGTATTCATTACTGGATATTTCCAACAGGAATCATTGTAAAATATCGACAAGGAGAGGCCTGGCTAATGCCCTTTTACTAAACTAGACACACTGAAGCCAACTGTAGCAGTTTTACATCCATCCCTGCTAATAGCCGGTTGCTCAGCAAACATGGAATCAAACTCTGAATGCCTGAGCTCTACAATGAGTCATTTGGACTTGTATTTAAACCCATTCAGGATAATGTGATGCACAGATAAAATGCCAAAACAGGACTTTGAGCACCAAATTGTCAAAGTACTCGACGTTGGCAACCTGTAGTTTTGTGGCTAGATTTTAAGTTTACTTTTATTTATTAATAAACAGACTTTATAACATTGAGACATGGGTGTAAATTATTAATTCTGAAATCAGGTGTTTCAGATTATGGAAGTAACTATGTACTAGTCAAAGAATAAAAATAAGTCACGAATGGAATATTTTTAATAGGAAACTCCACTTTTTTGCACCTTTTAAGCATAATTCTTATACATCGCTAGTGCCTCAGAGTCAGAAGGTGATGGATTCAAGCCTCAGACAGGGCATAAAAATGCTGATTTGCATTTCAAAGCAATACTGAGGGAGTTTCACATTCTTAAAGATGTCATCCTACAGAAGAAATGTTAAATCTGAAATACGTCAGTCTGTTCAACAAAGTCAATTCGTAACCTTCAACCAACACAAGCAAAAACAAATAACTGGTCATTTAATGAATTAGTGCGTGTGGGAACTTGTGAACTAATTTGATCACAACAAAATAACAGGAACTTGTCAACTGACTGTGAGCTGCTTTGGGTTGTCTTGAAGATCAATGAAATAATCCCTGCTTCTTCTACCAATTAAGAAAGTGCAACGTAGCCTGTCTGAAAGGTCACCTGGCTCACCGGACCAATTAAAATCAATTCCAGGAGAAGCTAACAGGCCAAGCTTCAAAGAATTTAAGTCAACGACCAATTACCAGCATAGTTCTTGATTTTGGGCCATTAAATTAAGTGTCGAAACTAAGAAGATCACAAGTAAATTCTTACTTCCATAATTATAAAATAAACTGTCCATTATATTCATACATTGCAAAGACATCACCAGTGAGTGCCTCAGTATCATCACTGGTAGGGGGCTGTAGAATAACAAGTAAGTGGAGGTCCTCATCATCGTCCTGATTCATTGCCAACCTGGTGGGGAAAATGACACCTCATCACTTAGGCTACAGTCAAGATGTAGTTCAGAGTGACATTAAAGAACCCTGATTAGGATTTATGCCTGAGATTTCCAATGAAATCCATTGAGTAGCCCTTCTACCTCCAAACGAGCTGTGTATTTAAGACAGAGAGCAATAGAAATGCAGTGGAAAGGGAAATTACTCCATTTCAAGTGTTCTCCCATTTTGGACCTGCAGAGCAGGAACAATTAAATCCACCTCCATGGTCTTTGCTCTCAATATGATACACCTTTGGAGACTGAGTTATGATTTATAGACTGAGAGGGAGAGGTTCAATGAAATGGATATAAAAATGTACCAAGACAGATTAAACTGCAGAATAAGATAGCAGTATGAAAAACACCATTTTTCTGATGAATGTTCTCCAGCACCAGTACATTGTTAACAGGGAAAGAGCTGTACAATTGTAAATAAAGGGGACTGATTTCATTAAATGAGTAGAAAATTGAAACAATCCTATTTTGTGTTTACTCCAAAGATTAGGTTTGCTGCAAATTATTTTTAACAACATGGGTGTGAGGGAGTACAATAAAGTGCAAGATTCATAGCAAACATATCTTTTGACATGATTCCACCCACTTTTTACAGGGATTGAAATGTACAACATCATACAATGAAGGTAGTCATTGTATTAGATAAGTTATTACGTATTAATTGCAACTCCCTCCCAGTCACAATATACTGTCCACGTATTCACATTGTAAAGTTTGTTTTACCTGGATAATATCTAGCCAGGCCAGTTGCACTTCCAAACACCTGCCACATTAATGTTGGGTCTTTATCTTTGTTTTTCTTGAAAACGTGATCCAGCGCTGAAGTCCAGTTCAGCTCATTTAGAACAATCGTTGCTGCCAATAAAGAAACACTTGGTTAATTATTAGCCAGTTACTTCAATGCCCAAATGGAAGGCAAAATGGTTACCTGCTCTGTTTCATTACTTCTGGGCTGTAAAAGTATACAGACAATTGGTCATTAATTAAATACGTAGCACACAACAGGAATCCATGTAGCTTAGATACAGTATTTCCCTAAAATGTGCAGCTATTCATAAAATAAATCAGGCACAAAATTTATTTTCGATCACAAAAATTGAGAAAGATGAATAAAATGGCCAATCAGTTAAGGTAATTACTTTAATGCATCATATCTTCATTGCTCGAGATCAACTTGATCTTGTTTTGTGTTACTGGTGACAGCTTTTGACACTTTGTTCTCATTATTAGAGTCATTATACGAGAATGGTTCTCTATTTTATACTCGCACTGGTGTTTTTGTTTAAACTTACGTGCAGAACTAGAGGAGACTACATTTGGGGTAGGCTCATCAGAGCAAGGGTTGAACTCTCATCATGCTGCCCTCTATCCCACCAAAGTCTAACCAAAGCTGGATATTCACTATCCCCAACGGAAATTTGCTGATTTTGCCCCCGTGTTGCTTTGGTGGGAGTTTCATCTTAGAAACACTGTAACCACTTAATATAACAATATTGAAAATGAAATAAAATATGAAGCAAGATAGGCTTTTGAGATTTCTCAATTTCTTAATAGCTGAGCATTAGAAAGAATTAACTATGAAACTCTCATTTTGTCAATCTCATTGATGGCATAGATAAACGTATCGGCTTGAGCAAATACTTGCCTGCCAATCACCCTCATTCTCTATTGATACTGCTGACAGTGCCGAGAACAAAAACTTCTTACATCTCCATCAGTAAAAGAGGTTACTTTTTCTTAAGTAGTGGAGCTATTACTACAGCATTAACTCCCATCCTCTCTGGCACTGTACCTGTCTCTGACACATTGGTAGTCAAACTTTTCTGGTTATAGCACCTATTTCAATTTGACAGAATCCAGTCTAAGCTTTAAGACATGAATATACCATTTACCTCCACCCAACCCTGCTATTTAATAGGATCACGGTTGATCAATGAACTAACTCCTATACCTATCATTGGCTCAAAGCTCTCAATACCTTTGGATAACCAAAATCTACCAATCTCCATTTTAAATTGAAATTTGATCTAGTATCAATTGCCATTTGAGGAGGAGAGTCCAAATTTTTACCACATTGTGTGTGCAAGTCTCCAATTTTTAAAAGTCTGTGTGCCAGTCCTATGGACTCCGCAACAAACAAAATTTATAGTACTAAAAAACACTCGTGATATGAAAATATTACATATAAAGAAAGTTTTATTATTTCTTTTGAAAATTAGGTATGCACTCTCAGTTATCACTGAAATCGGTGCACCTACTTCTTATTGCACAGGACTTGGTAGTTGAATTTTTAAAAACATTTCCTCTCTTGTATAAAGTAATTGCAGGTCCACCTAACAATCATTGTGCAGCTCTCTCTGCAATCCTCTCTTCAACGAGACAGCTAGCCCACTCTCTGCTCACATGAATGCTGCATCCTGCTCCCACCTCATATTTGGCACCTATCCTACATTCCACTAAAGCTAAATTATTTTGGTGACCCTTTCTAAATTCTACAGATCTGCAGGCGTTCACAGATCCCAGGTTGAAAACCATTGCTTTAACATCAACATGACTGAAAGTAAAACAGAAAATACTGAAAATACTCAATAAGCTTTACAGCATCTATACAGAACGAACCTGGGTTGATATCTCAGGTCTGTGACCTTTCACCAGAACATTCTGACACAGCTAAATATATTTCCAGTATCTTCTGTTTTTGTTTATGCTGAGAGCTACATTACAAGGAAATTATAGCACAGGCTGAAGTTCATTTTTAAACTTGGTTTTATTACATTCATATTCACACCTCCCATTGTTGTAATTGTTGTATCTCTAAATCTATGATGTGATCCTTCTAAGTTTACTTTCCCTATAAATTGAGCTGATCTTCTTGCTGACCTGAGCTTCACAGTTTACCGATCATGTGAATGGGAATGCAACCTACCATAAAATCTGTGCCAGTGTCCCTCTTAGGCCAACTCCAAGACCATTCAAGAGCGCGATATAAGGTCATTTTCTTTCTGCAGTTTATTTTATCCAACTGGAAGCATTTGGGTGCTTATCGCTTTAAGGCAAGTTGTTTATGAACTCATCGCACAAGCAGCGTAACATTCTACTGCACTGTACATTTGAATAAAATCAATTGGAGGCTACTTTTATTATGTTTTACAAGAAGATGACTTGACTAAAGTTTACAAGATCTTGAGGGGTCTAAAGAAGTAGTTGTGGAAAGTCAATAACTGTGGGTCACTGTTTAAAAACCAGGGTGATCTACTTGAAACAGGGATGAGGTAATTTTTTTTCTCTCAGAGGGTCGTTAGTTTTTGGAACTCTTTTCAGTGAAGGTAATGGGAGCAATCTCCTTGAATATTTTTAAGGCTGAGTTAGATAGATTCTTGTTAAGTAAGAGTTTGCAAGGTATTGGGAGTAGGCAGAAATGTGGATTTGAGATTACAATTGGATTGACTATAATGTGTTGAATAGTGGAGCAGGTTCAAGGGGCTGAATGGCCTACTCCCACTCTTAATCCATAAGTTCATATCCAATTACTATCGCCATACAAGAAACAAAGCAGGCAAGTTTCATAGATTAGAAATGAACAAATCTTCAAGAGAGTGGATGGAAAAAAACAGGTAAATCTTGAAATAACATTACACAATAACAAGTATGGATTTTTAAAAAGATTGAAGATTACAGAAAGAAAGATTTTAGAAAGAATTGAAGATTTTAAAAAAATTAAGCAATTCAAAAAACAAAATAGTGCCCTTTATCTCTCATTGACACATTACCTATTAATAGTAAAATGAGAGATAAATATATACTTCAAGACTTGTATTGGTTGAGACATATGAGAACCCTTTTACTTGGGTTTGAGTTTGAGATTGTGACAAGCATTTGGGTTCAAATAATTCAGTCCTGAAGCTACTAAACCACCAGTTTTTCTTCCATTATTTAGTAGAATAAAAACTCCTTGTGGAAGAGGAAAAATTTAAAGCTGCTTAGATAAAAGTAATATTTCAAGCATTGCTGATTAAGTTGTGTATGAACAAACTAATGTCAAGCAGACGTTCATCACTAAAATTGTACAGTACTTCCAAGCAAGGCTTGCTGTTCATTGAAGGACTCCAGCTCTTGCTTGACATAAATCAATGTATTAATGTCAGCATAACGCAGCAAAAGAAAATGAAATACTTCATCACACAATAGGAACATCACCATCCCCAGTGATTTCTTCCAGATACGCATCTCCGTTCTTTTATCACCAGCAAATGACAGAAAATTGTAAAGCCTTTTCAAGAACAATTTCAATTTTTATAAGAAGAATTGAAATCAATACAGTGCTCTGGTATAACTCCCTCCAAATAGTGGAGATGAATATATAAATATTGTTGATGATTTATTCTGGGTGTCACTCTGGCAGTGCACGCAGTAATGTTTAATGCTCCATGTAAACTGGATCAGTCAATCCTATTTAATTTCTCCTGAGAGACAGAATTGCAGCATCTCCTAATGTGTGCTTCCTAGCAAAAACTTTACATTAAGTTTTCACCAACATATCTCAAGAAATATTCATTGAGACAACTTCATCAACTTCAACTAAAATCAACCCATTACTTGCCGATACATGAGAATCTCTATTATAATCACTTCGGAACATAAGTTATTGTTGTGGTGATAACAGTAATTAGATGTTACTTGACAAATTAGTCAGACAAATAGTCAGGTACACTTTTAGATCTGTGTCAAATTTATAAAAGCAGTCTGTTGCAAATAATTCTGAAATCTGGAAGTGATTAAAGTAGCACGTCAGCTTATAGAACTCAACTTACAAACATATTGTACATCAGAACCATGGAGATATCTACTACTTAAACCTAGCTAGTTCAACAGTGTATGTTTTGGTATCCTTGGTCTAAATTACTACATGTAACCAGTTCCTATCAGATGAAGAAGAAAGTTTTGGAGCCCAGACAGTAGCATTGACCATATCAGTGACTTTATTCAAGACTATCCCTGTCAAGGAAACAGGGAGTAGTACATGGAGACATCTAAATTTGCTTGGGAAAAATTAATGGAAGACTATGAAACAATTAAATATTTTAACAATACTATAAAATTCTTCAATGTACAAATAATTAAGCCGTTGGAATAGTGACTGCTACATCAGTTTCAAACTTTGCAACTATCACCGTTAAAAATGTAAACAACAGAATTAATACAAAAAGCTGCAAATTGTACTGGAAACTCTGAATATATCCAAAATGAAAACTCTCGTCTACTCAGCAGTTAGTACGGCTTCACACCTCCAGGGACCTGGGTTTGATTCCAGCCTCAGGCAACTGTCTGTGTGGAGTTTGCACATTCTCCTCATGTCTGCGTGGGTTTGCTCTGGTTTCCTCCTACAGTCCAAAGGTGTGCAGGTTAGGCAGATTGCCTGTGAGAAAATGGTCTGTAGTGTCCAGTGATGTGCGGGCGAGGTGGATTCTTCATCGAAAATGCAGGGTTATAGAGTAGGAGGTTGGCACAAGTTGGGATGCTCTCTGGAGGCTTGGTATGGCCTGCTCCCACACCGTAGGGATTCTATGATTTAAATAATTTCATAAATCATAATATTTCATAAAATCCCTACAGTGAGTAAACAGGCCCTCTGGCCCAACAAATCCACACTGAACCTCAGACCATCCCCCTATAACTCACCTAAGCTACACTTCCCTGAACACTACAGGCAATTTAGCATGGCCAATCCACCTAACCTGCACATCTTTGATCCATGGGAGGAAACTGGAGCACCCGGAGGAAATGCATGCAAACACAGGGAGAATGTGCAAACTCCACACAGACAGTTGCCTGAGGGTGGAATTGAACCTGGGTCC